TGCAACCCCGTCCCGGCAGCGTGGCCACGTGGCCTGATTGCTATGGCACCCGTAGTCACAATCAGGCCCGAGAGGCCGCGTCCGCGGCCCCCACCCACCCACGCCCGCCTTTGGAGCCCTGAGCAGGGCCCTCCGCCCTCCGGGGCCACACTCCACGGAGCCACCGCAGCCCCTGGGCGCTCAGTGAGGCCAAGGCCACTCCGCGGCAGGCCAGGGTAAAGAGGGCCCGGAGGTGCGTCCCGGAGCCCGGGGCGGGAGGCTGGGCTGGGGGGCGCCGCTGGGGCGGGCGGGCCGCGGCGCCGCAGGCGCTCTGCCCGGGGGGACTCCGCAGTGGGCCAGGGCAGCCGCCGTAGCTCCCGGTGCTCCCGGTACTCCATGCTGGCCACAAAAGTGGTCTGTGGACTTGTGGGGAAGGCCACACCGATGGCCGGGAGGGAAAGTCCTGGCTTCTCCGAGTCCATGTGTGGACTTAGCAAACTTCGTGTTCTCTTTCCATCCGTGTGCAGTGGAGATGCCACAGCGTTCCATGGACCGCTGTGCTGGGCATTAGTAGCCTGCACGGGGAAAGCACACAGCTCATCTAGTCTTGAAAGCCGCGTGAAGTAGAACCTTGTGTTCCCACCATACAGATAAGGGAGTGGAGAACAGCGGGCAGGGTGACTGGGCCAGTTTTGTCTGCTTTCTGGACAACCTCCTCGAGAGCTTGACAATCAACAGGCACCTTGAACCTGGCGCTCATGCCTGTAACCCTAGCTACTCAGGGCTGAGATCTGAGGATTGAGGTTCAAAGCCGGAAATAGAGCTGTAGCTCTAGTGGTAGAGCGCTGGCCTTGAGTGAAAAAAGCTAATGGACAGCACTCAGGCCTTGTGTTCAAGCCCCAGTACCGGCACAAAACCAGCATCAACAAAACTCAACAGGTACCTTGAAGAACCTCAAATCCAAACTTCCTCATTTTACAGATTTAAAAAGTGAGGCCCATAAAGAGGAAAATCTTGCCCAGGGCCACCTGATAAATCAGAGGCAGAGCCAGGACTGGAACTAGACATCCTGACTACAGCCTCAAGACACCTCCAATAAAAAGCCAACAGGGCCGCCTCTGGTCCCCAAAGTGCATTCTCAAAAGCCCACGCACCTTGCTAGGCTTGTCAAACCCAACTGCAAAGACAGCTGGGAAGAAAAGGCAACTGCCTTTTCCAGGACAAAGAACACAACAACCAAGCCTACAATTTGCACTGGAGAGGGGCGGTTTGCTTCCTGGGCATTTCTGAAATGACTTGCCTTTCTCCTCATTTATTTTAAGCCCTAGGCACTTTTCATACCAGGATTTAATCTTCTTTAGCAGCATGGAAAAATACAAATCAATTAAAGCCTAAAACCTATGGGGTAATCATTTTTCCTCCTCCCCCCCTCCCAACAAGAAGTGGTGCCTGTACCTCGTGCCTTTTATCCACACTAATTTGGATGCTGAGATTCGTTCAAGGGACAATCACTTTGGATAGCTTATTACAGCTCTTCTCATGACATTCTTGGCGTGCATGTCACAAGTTGCTAGGATCAAGAACTGAATCACATTTGCTCTCAGGGGGTCTTGGGGCCACCAGTCAAGGTTGGCTGTGGAGAACTTGGCAGTCCCAGGGTAGCAGGGAACAGGACATACAAAAGATACACTCCCCACACCCCAAGTGGAACTGGGATAGAGCACTAACAAAAAAGCTGAGGGACAACGCTTAGGCCTTGAGCTTATTCCCCAAGACAGGCACAAACACACATGCATATATACACACACACAGGTACTCATTTCCCCCAATGTTTGCAGTCTACCTTGCTTTGAAATGGGGAGAAAAAAAGTAGTGTAGTGAGAGTTGAAGCAAGGCCCAGGATCTAGTTGGTGAACCCTAGAAACAGGAAACTTGCCAGGTCCTTAGTATTTGCCACTTGTCTCTCACCTAGCCATGGCCAATCTGTTGTCTGGAATGTTGGTTCTAAGGAACAGAGGGAAGGAAGGGTCCAGGTGAAAATTGGACAGTGGTGATAAGTCCAGGCTTGCCTACCTTTCAGCCGTGATTTTTTTTGTTTTGTTTTGTTGTTATTTACTCAGTGTGTGTGTGCGGTATGTGCGCATTTGCTGGTACTGAGGCTTGAACTTGGGGCCTGGGTGTTGTACCTTAGCTTTCTCACTCAAAGCTAGCTCTCTACTACTTGAGCCACAGCTCTGCTTCCAGCTTTTTGGTGGTTAATTAGAGTCACACACACTTTGCTGCCTGGTTTGGTTTCAAACCGTGATCCTCAAATCTCACCCCCAAGTGGCTAGGATTCCAGGCATGAGCCACCAGTGCTGGGCTCCTCTGCTTTTTAAGCTTGGTTTTCAACCTCCTTCTACAGCAACCAGTGTTTCCCTGTGCCTGTTGCAATGGCAGGCCCCTATCAGTTTAATCTCAGTAGGCCTGAGAGCTCCCATGAGTCTGCACCCCACATTCTGGGCTCTAAGGTCCCTGCCCTCCCCTTGTTTCCTCTTGTCATGCTCACCCCGGGGCTGAAGTGAGCTGTTTCCCACCACGTTAGGACACCAAGGCTGGGAGATGGCAGCTTGCTCTGATGATCAGCAAAAAGGGGTGGAAACAGGTTCTGAACATAGGTGACCCTAGAGCTACCTTAACTGCTGCCAACCACAGCATGGAGCCCAATGGGCAAAGGCCAGGCTACAGGGCAAGCTCCCCTCTCCCTCCAAACCACCTCCTGCCACTCTGACTTCAAACTAGGCTGGATTAGGAGGAAGTGTTCATCTCAGCACAAAACATAAGGGGCCCTAGAATCTTGATAATCAAGGCATGCTTTAATACAATATTTTCTATAAATTAAGACACCAATGACTCTATTTGAATATCAAAAATTTAGGACTAGGCTCAGTTGCTTAAGCCTGTAATCCTAGCTACTTGGGAGGCTGAGATCTGAGGATTATAGTTCAAAGCCAGCCCCAGCAGGAAAGTCTGTGAGACTCTTATCTCCAATTAACACCAAAAAATTGGAAGTGGCTCTGTGGCTCCTGTGGTAGAGAGCTAGCCTTGAGCTGAAGAACTGATGGACAGCTCCCAGGCCCAGAGTTCAAGCCCCATGACCGACCCCCCCCCCGAAAAAAAAATTTCAGCCAATATCTGAGCAACGTGATACATGCTTGTCATCCCCGGTGACAAAGGGAAACACAAGTAGGAAGACAGCAGCCTTTGGCCATCCTAAAGTGAGATGCTGCCTTGAAAAGCAAAAAAAGAGACAAGAAAAAGTTTTAAAAGCTGTGACCCAAGAGCGCCTGCCTGTACTGGGGGTAAAAAAAAAAAAATATATATATATATATATATATATATATATACACACACACACATATATGTACACATATATATGTACATATATGATCACTTAGCAATTTTCTTTTGCCACAGTTCTGAATCCTTTAAAATGATGTATTTTGTTCTTTGTAAACTTTTGGTCTTAAACTGCTCTTACTGAAGTACTTTTCTCTCCTGAATGTGCTGAGTTTTAGGCAGCACAGAGGTAAAACTTTTGCACGAGTTTGGTGCCTACCTCCCCACCCCCCTTCTCTGCTGAGCCTGACTATGGGAGACACAGCAGAGAGCCACTGTGCCCAAGTGAGCCATTTCTGCTCCCTGGGGAGGAGACCAAGGATATGGCAGGCATTCCATAAACAGGACCATGCCCCACTTCCCCTCCCCCTTTGTCCACTTTAGGGGTGGGGTGCCAAGTGTGGGGAGATTGAGCAGGAAGATCACTGGCCCTGGCCCTGGCCCAGGCCTGTCTCCAGGGAGCCGCAGCTGCTCTGTCTGTTGGCAGATGTGGTGCACACTCGTTAAATTTGCTCCACTGGGGCTTATGGGGTGTGACTGTCAGGCCTCCCAGTGCTGTCCTGGTTTTGATTCATCCAGCTGTCATTTTGTGGAAACAATTTTCTGGTCCATCCTATTTCCTTTTACTCCTCTGCTCCAGCCCCATTGCGGGGGGGGGGGGTCAAGGCTGCTGAGGGAGACAGAACACAACTGCCTCCCACTTGTATTCCCTCCTCATGCCTGGACGCCTGGAATGTGCCTTCCTCACCCAGCATCCCGTGTGGTCCTCTCCGCTTCCATGATCTGGCTTGGGCCCCACTTGGGCATCACCTCCTCTATCCTGGCTCATGGTGGCACAGCAGGGGTGGGGAGTACAAGGGTGCTAGCACCACGGGGAAGTGTGTGTGTGTAAAAGTGTCTGCAGACACTGAAGGCCAGAGCAAGCATCCAGCGCTCAGGGAAGGAAGTCACATTGCATGAGCGACACCATCCTTGACAGGAAAAGGGACAGAAGGGAGGCTTTGCTCTGTTGGGAACAACTTGGTGGAGCTGGAGCAAATGCGTGTATGTGGCCTCTCAGGGCCTCAGTCTCCCCTCAGGGCTATGGGGAGCTGCTCAGAGCACACGAGAGGCCATTGCATATCCTCTCCAGAGGACCCTTGCTTCTGCAGCTGGCTTCCTTCACGTGTGCGAGGCCTCCTCACGGTTCTTCTCCCCTCTAGGTTGCCTCCTGCCCTGTGGATGACCCTAGGAGATGACAATGAATGAGGTGAAAGAGTCCCTCCGCAACATTGAACAGAAGTACAAGCTCTTCCAGCAGCAGCAGTTCACGTTCATCGCAGCTCTGGAGCACTGCCGGGAGACCGCTCATGACAAGATCCGGCCCATTGCCAGCATCGAACAGGTGGCAGCCTGGCAAGGGCACGTGTAGGCCCCAGGGGCCCACCACACCCATTCCCTGGGCCTCTCAGCCCAGTCTCCCTCACTCCCAATGAAACAGCAGAGCCCCAAAAGAGGCATAATGGGGCCAGAGTCAAGACTCAGATCCTAACTAATGGGCTGAGACCCTTATTCAACCCCCTACAAGATCTGAGAGTGAGCAACAAGAGTTTAAAATGGGCATGACTCAGCCAGCCAAGCTTGAGCACAGGGCCTGGGCACCTCCCTGAGCTTTTGTGGTCAAAGCTAGCACTCTACTATTTGAGCCACAGCTTCACTTCTGGCTCTTGCTGGTTAATTGGAGATAAGAATCTCACAGATTTTTTTTTTTAACCTGGGCTGGCTTTGAACTGTGATCCTCAGATCTCAGCCTCCTGAGTAGCTAGGATTACAGGTGTGAGCACCTGTGGGGTGCTTAGCAGCATCTTCCCCACCTGCTAATTTTTGTATGATTTCCCTCCCATTTTTGACTTGAACAATAAGCAGAGAAACATCCACAGAAACCTCTATTTATATCTATCCATTGTCACACTGAGCTTACTGGTCTGTGTGTGTTTCCTTCAAGTATTTGAAAGGCAAATGGTTTCAATGTCCCAGAAGCTCAACCTTCCAAGAGTGCCAGGCAGGCTTTGACTCCAAAAGTAGCCTTAGTCCCACCCCACCTGAGCATCTGAATTGATGCTATGGCACACTAGGGAGAGAGTTTAGATTCACTGTTGGTTCTGTGTGTGTGTGTTCGTATTGGCCTTTCACTCTACCACTTGAGTCACACCGTCACTTCCTGACCCTGTGTTCTGACTCTCCATCTGAAGTGCTGTTTCTTTCCCTCTCTTCCCTCCCTGAACCAGGGGTTTCCCAAGGGGTTATCTGTTCACCACCAGGGAGCTCAGGGATATAGCTTTTGTGTTCATACAATCTAGGTTTCCCCTACTGCCTGTGCAGGCCCTTGTGCAGGCCTCAGCCACAGGAAATCCTAGACTGAGGTTTAGGGTGCTGGAGGAAGTAAGAGTTATACCTCCACTCATTACACGGTGACATAGTTGGCTTTGAATAGGTCAATTAAATGGCCAGTTCCAGCACCAGATCAGGCCTCCCACCCAGGCCTGGCAAGTCCAGGTAATCCAGTAGAGAAAGACCCTGACCCAGGAAGGATCCCCATGCTATCAAGAAAGAGTTGAGGTCAGGCACTGGTGGCTCACACATGTAATCCTAGCTACTCAGGAGGCTGAGGTCTGAGGATTGTGGTTCAAAGCCAGCCCAAGAGAAAAGCCCATGACACTTATCTCCAACACACACACACACACACACACAACCACACACAACCACACATACACACACAGCAGAAATGAAACTGTGTCTCAAGTGGTAGAATGCTAGTCTTGAGCACAAAAGCATCCAGGCCCTGAGTTCAAGCCCCAGGACCAGCATACAAAAAAAGAAAAAAGGTGCTGATGGCTTATGCCTGCTGCCCTAACTACTCAAGAGGCAGAGCCCTGAGGATTGTATTTTAAAACCATCCTGGGTGGGCAAGTCTGTCAGACCCTTATCTCCAATAAACTACCAAAAAGTCAGAGGTGGGGCTGTGACTGAAGAGGTAGAAATCTTGTCTTAAGCACAAAAGCTAGGGAACAGCACCTAGGCCCTGAGTTCAAGTCTCAAGACTGGCACAAAAAAGAAAGGAAGAAGGAAGGAAAGAAGAGCGGAAAAGTAGACCAAAGAACCAGTAATTTGTGTTTTGCCTAACTTTTTAAAGAAAGGTTTCCATATTTCCTAAATTTATTCACATGAGGTTTTTAAAGTTTTATTTGTGTTACTTAAGCTCCTGATCCTTTTTTTTTTGGGGGGGGGGTTCCGGTCGTGGACCTGAACTCTGGGCCTGGGCACTGTCCCTCAGCTCTTCACCCCAAGGCTAGCGCTCTACCACTTAAGCCACAGCGCCACTTCTGGCTTTTTTCTTTTTGCCTCATGCATGCAAGGCAAGCACGCTACCACTGAGCCACCTTCCCAGCCACAACTCCTGATCCTCTTAATAGTTGATTTTTCAATATGGATGTAGTGCAAAAGAGGCCACATTTTCTCCTCATGTGGATAATCTTTCTCTACCTTAGAAACACAGCACAATTTGATGATGATGAATTCTCATTTGCCTCAGTGTGTGTCTCAGGGTCCCCAGAACATACTAGCCCCCCCCCCCGGGTGGTTTAGGGGGTGAGTGCTCAGGAGTGTGAGCACTTGGCTAAACCACTTTCAGTGATGCCCTGAGCTGGCTATTTCACTGTTCTAGATTGCTAGCGTATCTGTAAAACGAATGTCTAAAATAGGCCTGGGGCTCATGCCTGTAATCACAGCTATTCAGGAGGTTGAGATCTGAGGATCTTGGTTTGGAGTCAACCTGAGTAAGATAGTCTATGAGAGTCTTATTTCCAATTAGGTAGCAGATAGCCAGAGGTGGAGCTGTGGCTCAAGTGGTAAAGTACTAGCCTTGAGCAAAAAAAATCCAAGTGAGAGCACAAGGCCCTGAGTTCAAGTGTCAGTACACACACACACACACACACACACACACACACGCACACACGCACACACGCACACCCGGCCAGGCCTAGAACGGCATCCTGCATGGAGCCTAGAACACATAATGGTGTTAGCTGTATGTCCTGATCCATCTGTTGAAGTGCTTAACTGCTGGCACCTCCCTGTGAACCTGGGGAGCTAGCAGGGAAGGGGGTGGCAGTCCCTGGCGGCTGACAGCTCAGTTCACAGTATGCTGGCCTTGGCAGGTACAGAGCTACATGGACCATTACTGCAATAGTTCCACAGACCGGCGGGTGCTGCTCATGTTCCTAGACATCTGCTCTGAGCTGAACAAGCTCTGCCAGCACTTCGAGAACCTACACTCGGGCACCCCAGTCACCAACAACCTCCTGGAGAAGTGTAAAACCCTGGTTAGCCAGAGCAACGACCTGAGCTGCCTCAGAGCAAAGTAAGTCCCTGCCTGTCCTGTCAGCAGGGCCTCCATGACGGAGCCCTTGGAGATGTCAGGGGACTCTGAGCTGGTTCTCTTCTGTTGCTAAGGAACATGACCGCTGTCCTTTAACCTACAAGAATGCCAGGCCCTGCGGCTCATCCCTGAAATCCTAGCTACTCAGGAAGCTGAGATCTGAGGAATCGTGGTTTAAGGCCAGTCCAGGCAGGAAAGTCCTTGAGACTCCAATTAAGCACCAAAAAGGTGGAAGTGGAGCTGTGGCTGAAGTGGTAGAACATTAGCCTTGACCAAAAAAAAGTGCAATGGTCCAATGTGCCCAACTCTCAGGGACCATAGTGCAATGTGAGTGTGTGTGTGTGTATTACATATTTTTGTTCTTAGCTCAGTCTATGTAGGCTCCTGCAAGCCATCGGTCAGTGGGGTTCTTAGCCCCATGTCTTCTGAATCAGAACTTGTGGGGACAGAGTCCAGTTTGAAGACCCCATGGGGTGACTGCTGTGTGCAGGCTGGAGGCTGCCCGACCTCACAGCAAGTCTAGCCTCGCCCCTGCCCCACCATGCAGGTACCCGCACGACGTGGTGAACCACCTCAGCTGTGATGAGGCCAGGAACCACTACGGAGGCGTGGTCAGCCTCATCCCAATCATCCTGGACCTGATGAAAGAATGGATCGCCCACACAGAGAAGCTGCCCCGCAAAGTGCTGCAGCACGTGAGTGCGACCCTGTCTCACCAGGAAGCCACTGCGGGAGCCACTCAGCTTGTGCGGACCTCAGACACCCAGTTAAGGAAACAGGAGTGTAGGCAACTGGCAAAAGACAGCTTCAAACCTACAGGGACTAAAGATGAAAGACATTCAAAGCCCCCCTGGAGGCCCCCTGGTGGGAAACTAACTCAAAGCCAGGGACCTGCTCTACCAGTCAAGTAATATGGTTGATCCATTCTCATTAGCACTCAGCCCACACTATAAACCCCAAAGGGGGATGATACATTGTTGAGAATTTCCTGCTTTCACTTCTAACTTTTCTGTAAGCTCTGAGCTGGCTGGAGTGTCCCCAACTCCATGAATTGCCCGAATAGGACGTTGGTAGAGGGTATCTCTGAGGAAAGGTGCAGATGCCAGGTCCTGCATGTACCAAGGCCACCACGGCGCCTGAAGGCAAGGCAGCATCTTCCTGTCTGACAGGGATGCTTCCGCTGTCAGAATGCAGGGAGAGTGGATAGGCTGAACTCTTCAGTGTGTTCAGTTCCCTTGGCCAAAGCAAAGTGATGAGTCTCCTTGGGAGATGGAGCCCATAGCAGAAGCTAGGATCTCATTGTGTGGCTCAGGCCTGGTTTTCACAGCCTAGAGAAGGGCCAAACACTGTAAAATATGTCCTTGGCTTCTACATTTGCCAGAAGTAAGTTCTGACTGTTGGTTTTTCCCTTCACAGGGGACGACTTAGCTTCTGTACTGTTGCTTCCTCGGGGGGGACAGTCAAGAATAAAAAATGTTTTACCACCTCTCTGCCTGCATTGGTCTCCTGGGATTTACCCCTGAAAGAAAATCTGTATCTCTCCTAAGGCAGCACAGGACACCTGGCTGTGCCAGGTCCCAGTGACTCATGCCTGTAATTCTAGCTACCCATGAGGCTAAGATCTGAAGGTCTGGGTTCTAAGCCAGACTAGGCAGAAAAGTCTGTGAGATTCATCTCCATTTAACCAGCAAAAAGCTGGAAGCGGAAATGTGGCTCAAGTGGTAGCTAGCCTTGAACAAAAAAGCCAAGAGAGCGCAAAGCCCTAGCGCATCGCGCACGTGTGCGCACACGCACACACACACACACACACACAAACACACACACACCAGCAAAGCCCTTGCAGACATCAGAGTACCACTGCAGACGAGTGGGCACCCACCTCCAAAGGGCTCTACCTGTAGGAGTCACTTACCACAGGTCTACGGACGGCAGCCTCTAGCTGTTTATCCAAGTCTGTAATGTAACCCCTTGAGACACCTGTTTAGACAAAACAAACAAAACAAAACAAAAAAAAAAAACCCAAACAGTAACAACAACCAAAAAACCCTCTGAATGTGCTAGACAAATTTATAAACTGCCCTCTCCACGGAGCTGTTCCAGCCATTAAGATGGGCAGTGCAGGACTGAATGGCAGACATGGCTGGGCCGAGAAACCATGCAGGGCTGCAGATTTCATCACCGTCACTTTCTACTAGCCTCAGGCCAGGCGATCAGGAGCAGGGGGATCTCGAACTCCTCCTGTAAAGGTCGTCGTCCACAGTTTGCTGAATGACTGAAGAGTAAGGAAGAGGTGGAGAGCCGGTGCTGTTGGTGGCTGCACACATGTGTGTGGGTTCAAGGTTAGTAAGCACTCAACAAAATAAATGTCCTTTGGGTTCCACCAAAGGACTCCATGAAACTCTACCTGGCTGGCTTCTCAGGACCAAGACAGAGAGCCAGCTGGGTGGCTCTGCAGACCTGCAGCTGCCTGGCTTTTAGGAGGGTTTCTCCTCTCCACATGCCACTCTACAGAGGAGCATGAACGAGGCAGATGGGTTGTCTGTGCCGTGGGCAGTCTGTTAGAACACAAAGGCTCTTAGAAGCCATTTACAGGTCCTCCTCCAGCACCCAGGTAACCCCACTGCAGGCCCAAGGTTTCCATACCTCTGGACACAAGGCCAGCGGAAACTGCTATACATCACCACAGCAGAGTAGTGCAAAACAATAAATTTTTATTTGTTCACAGTTAAACACAAGCAACTGCCTTGACATTTTAGAACATTCTAAGGACAGCAAACCCTTTGATTCCAATTTCCACTCACTGAGATTGTACCATGTTCTCTTGCAGTCTGTATTTATGGCATCTGATGTGGACTGACGTGCTTTTGAGGTGAAGGTGAGAAAGTTTAATCCTTTTGAGAAGAGGCAACTTTTCTCCATTTCACTAAAAGCAGTCAAAACATCGGATTCTATTCACTGATGGGATCCTTTAAACCGCATTAGCCGCCTATGGTTCATCATGATTGAGTTATAAAACTAGATTATGTCTTAGCAAAATCTGTTCCTCCGTAATGTATTTGTGGTCCATAGTTGTCTCCTCGAGTGAGCACTGATTCATCCTAGTGCAAGAGCCTGGCTGCCTCTATGATGAGCCAGGCATGTGCTGTACAGAGCGGCACCAGACCCTCCCGTCCAAACACTGTGCAAGGTAGGGGAGCAGAGGGAGGGGCTGCTCAGGGGCCCTTCAATGCTTGAAAGATCTGTTCCGCTGGCTAAACTAGCCTACTCTCCTGGAGCATGGAGAAGGTTGCGGCACTGGGAGGGGTAGACAGCTTCTTGGCCTTCGTGAACTCATTTTGAGGCCAAAAGCCACAGGCGGTGCAGGTTTCCCTCATGGCGGTAGCCCCCCCCCCCATCTCCACCCCGGAGGTGAGCATTACTGGCTGCAGGGCACGAAGGTGAGAGATGGGGAACGCTGCTCCCAGGGCATACTGGGAAGCCTGACGGAAATAAGAAGCCTGTCCTGGCCTAAACTTGTTCTTTAACCCTCACAAAAAAATCGAAATCAAGGAAAATGGAGGACTGCAGCAATCCAGGGGAAGGGGACAAGGCCATGACACAGACCTCTGGATGTAAACAGATACACAAACCTCTTCCTACTGGCTTCCTTTTCCAATAATCCCTGCAGGTCAGTTTCAGGGCCTGGACCTCAGGAGGGCACCATCCATATCACTGCAAACATGGCTGCTTGCTTCCTAGTGGGCCACTGGATGGGGCCAGGCTTCTCCTGGACCACACACTGAGTGCCCAAGAGGGTGGGTGACACTCCATCTGCACTGCAGTGCGGGCCAGGCCTGTGCAGTGCCAGACCTCCCTCCAGCTTATCCACAGTGCCTCCTGCCCTGCCCTGACTGCCCAATAAGAATACTAGCATCCTCCCGTGGTGCTTTCCTTTGTGCTTCAGTTCTTTCTGGCTTCCCATAGTGTTTGGTGCAAAGTCCCACTAGCTGGTCCACGCACACTTCAGTTCTGTTACACAGAAATGCATGCCAGGCTTTCTTACTGCCACTTGAGCCATGTGTTCCAGTTCCCAGGCCTGTACATCCCACGCCACTATGGATATCCTCTGAACAACTGCTACAACAACAACTCTTTCTGCACTGAGAACTCCAGATGCTGCCGCAAGTGGCCAGAGCCAGGCACCTGTTGCCTGTTGCACTGCTTCGGCCCAGGGAGGCACTGGCCTCTGGCTATGGGCAGGCAGCATGGGGACAGGGGCTAACTTTTCAAACTGCCAGTGGCTCCCAGGCCTTTTTCCTGGGTTATGATGGTTCTAAGAATAGTCTTACTATTTCCCCCTAATCACATCACATTCAGCAAGAACCTTCTGCAGTTGATTCCCAAGGTTAGGCAAGTCTTCTCTCCTGAAGGCTGTTGGCAAACCCAGAGAGGCCACCTGTCTTAGCCAATGTTCCGAACACTGAGCTCCAAGGACACCTCTTAAAATCTCGAGCCAGTTTTCTTATGTTCACATATCTGTTCCCATAGCAACAGTGTTTGTGGACTTTCTGTGGAAGTTCTATCAGATACCAACGTGTGCTGATGGACTGAGGTGGGCTCAGGAACTCCTTTTTGTCCACTTCTCCTTCCTGCTCTCTCACCCCCAAAATGATACTGCAATGTTCCTTCTGGACACAGTCCGTGCTGCATGAGGCACAGATTCCAGGCTTCCCAGCTCACACTGACCCCAGATGGTGTCAGAAGGGAAGGAAATCTGAGTAACTTACGCATGTCAGCCATCACAGTGCTGGCTCCCAGTTGTTTGCACCTACCAGGCTACTTAATCAGTTTCAAGACAGACCTGACCTATTACATTATTTTTTCTAATACCTTTGCCTGAGCCTCAGATGCCTGTCGGAAGCTCCTCCCATCTCCTATCACTTTTTCATCCTCAAAATAAATGCTTGCAACTGTCAAGTGAACCCACTGAGTCCAAGCATCTACAGCTCTCAGAATAAAAGCAAGCCTTATTACTAGTTGAAATAAGTCTGTGGTCTTCTAGAACTCAAAAGAGCACGAGCTGGAGTGCACTGGGAGGACTGGCTGCACAGCCAGGTATGGACACCCACGCTGGAGGACCAAGCTGAGGGGCCCGGCAGAGCCTCAGAGGGGCTTCCTCTACCTCAGCCCACTCTACTATGCTGGGACCCTCGATTCAGGCCTCCAGCCTCCCTTCCCTGTATTTCACAAGCTGTCCATTTAAAGTAGCTTGTTCTTTCTTAGACTGCCTCCTTTCCTTTGCCATTTAAGGAGAAGCTTTGCTCTAGGAAGGGGGAAAGCAAATAAAACCAGGTTCAATAGTTCACCTGTAGCATTTTTCTCTTTCTGAATTTGTTCCACACTATCCTTTTCTGAAATGGAACCAGAAAAACTACAATGTATTGGATTGTAAGCTTTCCTTTGGACAAAGCTGAATTAGAAGTGTGGCATCGCCAGTACCTCACTCTGGACATCCAGTGGCAATGGCCGGCCTCTGCAGGCTGAACAGTCAGTGGGCACCAGAAATCCTGACCCCAACTGGTCTTCAGCTGGAATTGCCATGGTGACACAGAATGTCATGTGGTCCAGCTGTCTTTAGTTAGGGAAGCTAGAGTATTTACTGCCACACTCAAAAAAAAAAAAAAAGACGTCCACCCTCATACGCTGTAAGCTTTCATACGGAGTAAGATTTCGTACCATTACAGTTTTTCAACTTCTTCATGGCTGAACCTTTCGATTCTATTCTTTTCACATAAAGAATAGACACAGGAAAGCCTAGTTCATTGGCTCTTTCCTGACAAACCTCTGCTTGCCTGGGTGGGAATACCAGGCAACAGTTCTTAGGCTTCTAGCATTTATTTCAGGAGCATATGTCGAGATTGTGTCCTTTGCTGCTGACTGGTGGGATGTCAGGAGCACGTGGGGCAGGGTCCAGGCAGTCAGACCTCATCAATACCCTCCTGGGTTCTGCTCTGCCATTCCTAACAGGGGAAAAGTGGGGGCAACACGAAGCTCCCAGCAATCAGCTTTGAAAGTCAGAACTGGTGTGAAAAGCTGCTACCTTTGCCCAGAACTTACTATCATGAATCAGCCCTGAGCCTGAGGAATGCTGGTCACATAAACTCAAGACAACCTTCAGAGCCTCTTTGCTGCAGCTGCATCACAAAGCAGCTGACACATACAACAGGTGCAGGTGAACTCAAGGGGAAGCTGACGAGCCAAAGGGGTAACCAATGGCTCAGCCCAAAGGAATACTTTCACACCTGCAAGAGCTTCACTGGCATCTCCCCTTGCTGCCTGCAGAGAATAAGACTACCACCTACATGCCCACCTATGGGCAGCATGGTACCCGCGTTCAAGCAAATACCAAATAAATAAGAGGTAGTGGGGAAAGGAGGGACAAGAGCTTTCCCAAAGGGCAAAGAAGTGCAGCCTCCACAGTGCCAGCTACACTGTCAAAACAACAGGC